TGATCTCATAGCTGACCTTCTTTGAGCAGGAGCTTGGATTAGAGAGCTCCTGAGCTTCCTCACAACAAGAAATTATCCTACGATCAGGTTAAATAACATTCAAAACCAAGAATTTAAAAAAAAAAAATGTAATACACACCCCCAGGACTACTTGGTACGGAAGCTATGCATAACCCTATAAAGAACATCCAAATACTAGGATTTGAGTATAAATTCAAATTACAAACACCACAAAAATTATTAACTTAAAACTTTTCCTTAAAGCCAACTTAACAGTTCAGCATGATCCACAAAGTACCTTTACTGTCACATAACTAAAATATTTAAGCTTGTAGAAGTGAATAGTTTTAACACACAAAGTGAAAAATTTACTAAACAGATTTCTGCATACAACTTTTAATGAAAACTCAGTGAAGGAACATGAGCTAGCAGCAAGATTTTTGTTTTTTCTTTGTTGTACAGCATTGGATTTACACGCAGCATTATTAAATGGTAAACTATCTAGACAACAACATATCTAAGATATAAACTTCATTTGAAAAAAGTCCATTTTCACTAAGGCGTCAAAATTCCCTATTAAAAACGTGTTTGAATACAAAAATAGGAATTTTAACGAATAAGCAACAAACACACATATATATTGTCTGATCAAAACATTATGTAATAGAAATTCCAAGTTTATGTATTACAAGAAAAAATGAGGTAACAGGTTCAAGTCACGGTTGACAGAAAATTGAAGACTTTCAAGATCTGTCCCAGAAGAATCCTCTTACATTTAGTTTCTGAAAGTGTGTTTTATCAGCTTCATAAGGTGCCAAAAACGGAATAAAGCTTGTTATAAACAAATATATTCTCTTCAAGGGTGAAAGAGCAAGTTCACCAAACAGTTACCAAAAAGCCCCAAGCAGCAGTTGCAAAGTTCACCAGATACACTATTCAGTTTTAATATTTGAATTATATTCTAAGGCTGAATAAGCTTAGTATAGTGTTTCTTTGGGCACATTCAGATGACCAGGAATTGTATACTATGCACCATCAGGATTAAAACTTTTATTTAAAAGCCAGTCACATCAGAAGTAGTTAAAATTTTTTAGCAACTTTTTTCTCTCCAAACCCCATTTTACGATCAATGGTTTTCAGCTGGGGAAAAAAAAAAAATCACAACTTAAAGAGTGTGGAAAATATTTTTTTAAAAAAGGAAGATGTCTGAGAAAACTTAGATTTACTTAAGAACCAAAATACGTCATTTTTTTAGTCTTAGACTGAGAAAACTAAGATTTACTTAAGAACCAAAATACGTCATTTTTTTAGTCTTCATTATTTTAAATTAGATTTTATTAACTAGCTTCTGTTAGAAAAAAGCCTTCCTGGACTAGCTATCACTCAGAAAAGGACTGATCAGTGTCTCAGCCAAGATTTTTAAAAATTCTAATGCCAGGCTAAGGCTACATTTTACTTTCATTTGTTCTGGCAACATTTACTCATGAGAGCAATGCTCAGGCTATAGTGTATTACAGGATGTGGGAGTTCCCAAATAATGTTACTTCATAATTCAACATTAACCATCATAGACAGTTTAAAAAAAGGCAAGGTGTTTAATTACAAGAGTTTATCTTCTGTGCAAGGCTTGTAACTGTTTAATATCCTTATCTCTCAAGCAGTTGACTAGAGTTACACTGCTTGTGAATAGCATTAGGACTTTCCAGATGAGGATAAATTGAAGCAATGAGACTGCTGCTCTATTATGCTCATGGGATATGAATGGGATTTTAGACATATACTGGAGAATGTTCATTTCAATACTTACAACTATTTACTGAAGTAATAAGAAATTTGAGTTCTAATAACAAAACTCTGCTGACTTAAGTAATTCTGTTTTTCAGCTTTTGTGTAAGTGGTCAGAAAATAAATACCAATGTAGTCTACACTTACGCCGCTGAAATAACACTTTTCTGTAAGTGGTCAGAAAATAACTATAAATACCATTGTAGTCTACACTTACGCCGCTGAAATAACAGGCCCCAACTACTACTTACACTGAGACATAAAAAGCGCAGAGAAGAATGCTTGCAGAAGAGGACATATCCGGCCAGCGAGGACGTGTTATAACAAAATCAAACTGAACATTTTTCAGGTGTGCAGATTAAAAATGACAAGTAGTAAGATGTAGACTGAAGCATGACCTCCACACCTGTGATTTCTGACCTTGTTAACTCCTGTCAGACCCTTCCAGTTCATACAAAGATACGAAAACCCCTTACCTATATCACTGTTTTGACAGCAGCTCCCTTCAAACCTTTACCCCTGTCCTCTGCCACAGAGACACCTGCACTCGGCTGAGCTTGCCAACCCTCTCAGCAGCAACGCAGTTCCCACCTCACCAGCCACCCTCGCCGTGCAGTGCTGCGGCACCTCATCTTGCCCATGAAGCTCCAACACTTGCCCCATGGCTGCCTGGGCTCCTGTCTTGCAGCCCCACATATGCCTTCCCTGTGCTCCAGCCTACACTGAGGACCACTCCTTTTGGTTCTTCACAAGGATAAGTATGTACTGTCAATGCCAGAGCAGAATATAGCTTTCCTATTTATGGAAGAAATGAACTTGCTATGGTAGTGTTAATTCAGTGAAGCATAGCCAGCCTCAGTGACTCTCATGTCCCCTGCAGCCGAACTCATCGGAGGGAAGACTACAATGCCTTTTCTTTTGAAAAGCACCTAGTGATTGATCAACAGCTCCTGGAGTAAAGGCAAATATGTAAAAAGCATTGCCACACACAAGACAACACTCAAATGCCCTTCCAGCACTACTGTCCTCACCCAGAAGCACTGGCTAAACTTTACCTTTGCTGAAATGCAGGGTGCAGGAGGAAGAGGCTCAGTGATCGTCAGGAGTTACCAGGGTGCACAAGGAAAAGGCTCAGTTCAGCAACTCCTCTCCATCACACATGGAGTACCACCAACACACAGCACCATCAGAAGGGCAGGGAACAAGGAGGAACACAATCCCCTTCTGTACCCCAGACACATAAAAAGCCCAGGGAGTCTCCAATGATCAGGGTGTAAGGTTTTACATTTAATTTTTTTTTTTCCTTTTAAATCAGGGCAAGCAGACTGCCTGCAGAGAGCACCCTTTCAGCCAGCAGAAGCAGCTAGGTATGTCTACCTAGTTGCCAATTTAGTATTATGAAACGCCTCTACAAAAACATGCCCATTTAAGCAGGACTAACACAATCCTGGAGGCTTCACTTTCCATCTCTTTCATGCATGTGTTTCATGCATCTTTATTTATTTATAATAAATAAATAATCTTTATTTATTTACAGTAAAAACCTTATCTAGTCCAAAATTCAATTTGTTTCAAAGGGTTTTAAAAATCTGCATTTTCTTCAGTAATAGCTCACTGACAAACTTGAAGCTACCATTAGCAAGACAAAACTCTGTTTTTTTGAGAATCATCATGAGAAGTGACCCTCAAAATGCAGAGTTATTGTCAGAAGACCAGTTCTACAAGTGGTATTTAACAGGACATGAAACTAAAACCAGGCACTCACACTGCATATGTGAAGTAGATAGAAAAATGCGAAGCATGTAAAAGTTTTGTAACCTCTATTCCACATCATGAAAAATTACAACTGGGTAGTTTCAAAATGTATCTTCAGTCATGCTCAACGCAGAGCAAAGTGTAGTTACTATACTGGCATACCAGAAAACATATTTACATATGCAGAACAACAGGGGAGATCTTGCAGCTATCATTTTTAAGAAAAACAAACAACACTACTCATGTGTGGACTTTATCACAACTCCTTTTCACAAAAACATTGACAGAGAATTCCAACACACAAACAGTTTAAATGAACTCATTACAGAACACTGATAGATGTGCAACATTTGTAATACTCCTTCAACATGCACATAGCACTCTTACAAAGCACCATTTCTTCTAAAACATATAATAGATGCACTGGTGACAGTTGAAGTATAAAAATAAACACAATCACTCTGTTAAAAAATTAGTGCAAAAGTTTTTTTTTTCTCATTTGAAAATGTTTGTTATTTTTTCCAGATTTAATAGTATTATTCTCTTACAAAAACTGAGAAGTCCTGCACAATTCCAATTCCATCTCTGCTTATTCTGAATTGCATGACTTAGCTGACGTCCTAGTATTCCCCAACCTTTGACCAAGAGCTCTTAAACTCTATTTAAACTGAATTACACAATGTTTAAAAAAATAAATCTAGTATTTCTAGCTCTATTCTAAGGTTATTAAATGTTTCCGTTACTCTCCATGGTCTCAATACCTTGTGTTTTATTGAGAGTGACCCATTTACAATCATTTCTAATAGGTGAGATATATCCATCTTAACTCATTATTTGCATCATTAAATAAAAAGTCCTAGCTTTTTTAAAGAACAACAGAGCACAGCATTCCTAGAGCAACGAATTATAATTCAGTCTGAAGCAGAACTACACTTCTCTCGTATTTCGAAAAAAAGTTGAAAAATGTTTTCAACCGTCAGAGAACTGTTCAGTTAAAGGCTGCTTTAAACTTCATAATCCGGAAGTGTTGTAAGAGTCCCTTTTCTTCCAACAACTCGTCAATGAAAGACTGACATCCAGTCCTATCAGTCATTTAAAGAACGTGTGCAAAACTAATTTAATTGGAATATTCTATGAAGCAGTTAATTTTACCAAGATCTCAGACATTGAAACAATGCTTCCTGTTAAAGGGACACCTGCGCTAACCAGTGTTCAAGGGCTCGCGTTAAGCTGATTAAACTATAAAGTAATGTTCCCCCAAATATTATTCCAAGAGATTTTCTCATACATGTTTTTTTCTTAAAACAAAGATTATATTGCAAATCTGAAAGTCAGTGCATTTTTTGCACTGGGGGGTGGGGTTGGGTTTGGGTTTTTTTTCATACATTATGGGAGAAGGTCCCTTTAACGAGGAAGGAGACAGGAATCACTTAATCAGGATGTGGGAATGGAATCTGTACCTATGGGTAAATGGCAATGCGTTCTGGGTTGGTTCAGCCCTTGGTTCTGAGTTCTGCGTCACTTCTGGCGTCGCTCTCTCATCATCTGTCCCATTAATACTTTCCGGCGTTAAAGGAGACTGAATATCCCCACCAGCTGATTCCTTAAGTAAAACAAACAACACATTAAAATTACAAAGTGACCTGCTCAGGAAGGCTATGTGCATATAAGCACTAACATTAATTCTTAAATGATACACAAATTTTAGGTAGAATTAATGTCAGGCTCAGATTTCCAGCATCCCTCATGGTCATATTTCATCACGTGAATTTAATTTAGAAGTATATTACCATAAGATTCACATTACCTTGTACAAAACACAACTGACCTATGAATTATTTGCAAGTATCCAGCCTCCTGCTTATTACAGACCTCTCTCCCTTACCTGGTACTACATTCAGCTCTCATCCTGCTACACAATGGGTAACTATTGACACCCAGGATTCTTGTCTCTTACTTTATATTCTAACACTGTGAAACAAACAATTCTGATATTTGTTTCAAAATCTAGCTTTCATATAGTTTATTAACCAAAGTGAACAGTGGAAGGGCCATCAGTGGTGTGTTCACAGTTTCACCTATGAGCCGTCTGTGAAGAACACTTGTTCAGCAGAGTCCTTGCAAAACTTTCGTAGGCACATTAGCCTGGCCTAGCTCTTGCTGGTCATGGTATTATCTGGGAGGGAGAATACTACAGCTACACCCAGGCAGCTTCCGCTACCAATGTGTAACAGCTGCTGTTCACTGACACCTGAAAAACTTCATGGCTGCTTCCCAGCAGAAGGCACCGGTGTGGTTTTAATCACCCTTCATCACACCAACACGTACATTTGTGTTTTGGCCAACAAACACCATTTGCTAATTTCTAGTCACCAAAAAGTACTTTTTTTATATAAAGCACACCCTTGTAGCCCACATCCTAAGGCTATTATAGGCTCTTCAGTCCCTGTATGTGGTTTAATTCTAGTATTTTCCTTCCTATTATATTCTTTTTCAAGTAATTATTTTTGCAGGAGATAAGCACGTCGTATAAGCTAAGTAGTAGCTCCTCTCGATTTTAAAATGTCTTAGTTGGCTTTTAGTAACCAAGCGGTAACATTTAACTCTAAGATAGAAGAGTTTCATCAATGGAGTTCAATGGATGTCATGGAGGGGTGTCTATACAGCAGAGGACCGGTTGAATTACAGTATTTCCAAAAGCTAAGCATCTCCTATGGCCACACAGCCTTCTACCACCTGCGTGGGGAACAGATAAACCTGCTATTTAATGTTATTAAACTGAAGCACAAGCACAGTCTCTGGAAGGCCAGCAGCTCTTCTTCCCGGCTCTTTGATGCTCTGCATAGGAAGCTGAAGAACAGCAATCTCAGAAGGAATTGCAAAGTATCTGAAGATGGTCATGATCTTGCAAGATCAGGGTTTAATTCTGAGCCTCCAATTGAAGCCTTCAACTCGTTTACAAGGATAAGGCTTTTTGAAAGCCAGTATTGAATCTGATCCTCCATTTATAGGAATTGTTGTCTTTGACTTTGAGACTTAACTAGGTGAAAAACTCAGTTCTTTTAAATAAAGAAAGATCTGGCTGTCATCATCACCTTCCACACCTTTCTGGTGTCCCTTAACCAATGTTTCCATTGCACTTTAAGTTACATTAAGCATTTGCAGCACAACTGTCAAAATTTTGCTTTCATTCTGCCATATTTCTCACATAGTGAGAGAGATATGTCTCACTCTACACTTGAATTAGTGGGTGATAGAACATTTTAATACTGACTTCAAGTTCTATTATATTTACCATTTATCAAGTTATACAATGCACATGCACCAGTGTCTCCATTCCACACCTTCTTATTAAATGCCTACTTGATTAAAAAGCAGAAATAATTAGCTTACACTGATTTAATTCCACAGATATAAACATATTTATAATATAAATGTAATTTTTTTATTATATGAATGCAAACTGTTACCTACTTTCAGGAAGAATCTTGTTATTCAAGATTTTATATTCAAAACTATTATTTTAAGTGTTAATACTTTAAAAGTCAAAATTAAATCTTGATTTCTACAGAACAATTTTACTGAACTGAAACTGAATTGAAATTAAGTGTGAAAGGAGAGCAGAGTTGGCAAGATAAACAGGTAAATTAATTATTTTATACAAATTATATGGTTTTGTCTATTATTATCCTCTGATTTGATAAACAGTTTCCACTGACATTAAATGAAAGCCTTTATGGACCCAAGAGTTTCTCCTTTATTTCCTCCTCTTCCCAAACTGCACTAGATATTCTAAAAAATACATACCACACCCTACAAAATCTGGATGGCTTATATCTTTAAACTAGAATTCCTACAACACTATTATTAGATACATAAAGCCAGAGCCTACATATTAAAATGTTTTAAGTGTGAATGCATAAAAATTATTTCAGTAGAATAGAAACAAATGTGCAAGTTCCATCTAGGCGTATTTTTCAGTAAAGCACTTTCATAGACTTCTAATGTGAATGAAATTCAAGGGACAAAAATTAATGCAGACAAACATTACAGTCTATGTAATACCTAAAGGTTCACTGCCTGCAAATTCATGAGGGGCTGATTTTGTATGTACAAAACAAGCATCAGATTCTAGTATGTATTTCTTCCACCAATAATACAGGTTAATCAGTGCTCTTACACACTCACAACTACCCCTGCCTGATAAATAATTTGTTTGCAGCCAACTATAATGAAGCTGGCTATGAATAAAGCACCAAAGACAACAGAAAAAGCCACTTACACTCAACAAAATTTTTATGAATGTTTACAAATAATATGTTTCCATGTTATATTAATCGGAGAGAGTAAAAGAATTTTAGAAACATTTTTGTGAGATGTTCATATGTAATGAAGTTTTTATTCCATGCCATTATAGCTTCACACATCCACTCCAGACTTTACAGAGTTGGGGAAGAAACTGCGGTCAGCTTAAAAAGAGATTTTCACCCTTCCCTTCCAGCTGGGAGAGCAAGTTAACTTAGTTCTAACATTCAACTGTATAGATACTATATGGAAAAAACAGTGCTTAAATTGAGAATGCCAAGTCTTCCTGTAAATCCATGACATATTTTAAGGCCTGATATTTCCCACTCATGACAGCTACAAATAGGTGTTTCACGCATTTGAGAAGAAAGGATTAACAGCTCTGCTGTGGTATAAAACCACTACTGTATCATATATCGGTTTCTGGAGGATACTGAACTTTAAGTCACTCGCCAGTCCTGGACTTAAACGTGGACTGAGGATTACTATTTTTCTACATGACATGTAAATGTGAGAGTCTGACTCAGGTATATTTTGCTATTCAAGAGTTTGTCAGATCTGCACTGTCTAAAGGAGCTCTGGTCCTCCTAATGTGTATGCAGAACTCCGGTGATGCCAAGCAGTATAAAAATGACAGTGCCTACAGTATATAAACTGAACATAACAGAGGGGAATTAATCAAAAGATGCCTTAAATTTCAAAATCAAATTCAAATTCAAAAATAAACAAAACACATGCACTCACAAAAGAGTCTTTAAACTAAAACAAACAGACTTCACAGCACAGATCAAGCCACCTTTTAATGGTGACTAAATACGGAACAGAAGAAAAGGAGGAGTAGGTGGTTCTAAAATCATGAACAAACCAAACCAATTCCAGCTTGGTTTCTTATTAAGTATTAAACTGGTTTCCCATTAAGTATTCCATACCCTTCCCTGGCATTGCTGTTTTTCATAGTGCTTCTCTGTTCAGGACTGACTGGCAATGGCATAAGTCTGCCAGCTACTTAATTCAGATACCACAACACATGTGAAACATTTGTTCCAGTATAGAAATTCACATAACATCCCAGAAAGTTACTTTTTTCACAAGCTTTGTAAGTAAATTTTGTACTTCTACAAAGAACAAGCCAACAGGTGATAAACCATGACCATTTTGCCAAAACCAATCCATTCCTTGCACTAAAAAATGTTGTGATTCTAAAACTTCTCAGGCAATAGCTATTCCCAATAGTCTGCATAGGAGGGGCTCAGAATCACAGACAAGACTATTTTTAGTAAACTACTCACCAATTTCAGAAATTAACAGAGGTCTTAATCTGAAATGACCAGGGTCAAAAGAAGTAGATTCTGAGGACAGATTCTTGATTAGAGAAAAAGAAGAACTGAGGTTCAGATTCCAGTTGGTTGTAAGACTGATGGGGTGAGACTGCTAACCCCACAAACTGCTCTATTTGGTTCTATACTTGAACCTAATTAAGGTTAGTTTAAAAAAAAAAAGGGGGGGGGGGGGAGGGTGGAGACACAGTTTTCAGGCTATTGCTTCATGCAGCTTCGTGAACTCCAGATCAAAGTGTTGCGCTTTCAGTGCACAGGCAAGCTTGTAATTGAAAATAGACCACGTATGGCTTGTCACTGTAAGATCCGTGAGTTTTTGACATGAGCAAAATAATTCCCTATATGAAAAGACGGGTCTGGGAAATAGGAGGTGGCACAGCAGGGGAGCCAGTATTTTAGTTTTATATAAACAAGATAAGAGCACTGCAATGCTTTACTATCTAAGGCTGAGTTAAAGGGACACCAGATGGGGTACTTGTGTGCACAGGTGGTCTTAGAAGTACCAAAATAGACAACTTCCTTCTAGACCGAAGCCCCCAGACATTCCAGATATAGATAAAGTGTGTATTATTATAGGAATCCATCTTAATACAGATGGGTTGAAAGTACAAGTTGTCTGACACAGAAACAATGCTTTCCTCTTCATTTCAGGAAAGCACCGTGCACTCGGTGGGACTTACACATAACAAAGCAGCATCTGTCTTGTAATTTGTTCGTCCAGGTCACTGTCTTCCTCTGGACAAGTTAAGTTCTTTTTACAGTAAGGTAAATGGTGATTTTATATATTATCTGATATTTTGGGAAATTAAAGCAAAGCCTGCTGGTAAATAAGAGGAGAACAGGCAGTATTATAGAAACAGCAGGAATGCAGAGTTTAAAATTAGCAGCAGCATAGCTTAGGGGAAAAGGAACTCCTGCTATTAAGTAATTGCAAATTGGACTATGTATTGTTTTCTTTCTACTACATGTTTCACACACACACACAAAAAAGCCAAAGAGTACATGCCATCAGATGAAACAGTATATCCAAAAAATACTCAACATGGAACTACTACTTCCTGGCCATTGAGGCACTTTTGTGGTGGAAATACCTAGCCAAATAGTATCAACACTTTGCTAAAGCTCGTAACACCTTAGAGAAGCAACCTAACTTCAGTGGTTTTTAGGTAAGATTGTTCTTAAGTTTTAACATGGCTAACTCTGGTAAGTACTTGAACTACAAATACATATTCTATTTCTGAGATATTTCTGTTGTTACCTCGTTTTCTATTTCTCCTTAGTTTCACAAGAAGTTTTTGCAGGACATTCAGAATTGAAACTCACACATACCAGTAGTATTTGCAGGGTTACATCAAACAACAGTGAACAGCAAATACCTTGTGCAGGGTTTTGTTACGCTAGTTATAGATAGATATTTTAATAAAGATTCAATCTGTAGGGACATACTGAATGCAGAAAAAAGCACATGTACTTTTTCTGTTTTAGAATTGTGTAGCAGAGAGAGTAGGCAATGTACCATTACCTGGTACTTTAATTTACTGGTAAATAATAAGGGCATTTTTTAAAGCAGTACCAAGAGAAATGTAACATTTTATTTAAGTTTGACATGTATATTTTCCAGTTTTGATATGCAGTATCTTCCTACCTATCATTAATTTAATGCAGAAGGATATCTGCAAGTCCAAGTCAGCAGAGGGATTGACACTTGTAGCTAACTGGGTTACCGTTAGAGAGCTCACTACTCACACGCTACCTCCCAATGCCTTTCCTGTCAAAGCTTCCTGAAAAAGCCAGGTTCCTGCAAAGTCTGGACTGGCCACTGAAAATACCTCCTTCCTCTTTTACTCTCCCTCTCTGCAAAGGATCACTTTGCAAAAGGGAAAGAAGAGCTGTAAAGTGATTGAGAAAGGCAACACTTGAATTATTTGCCTTGCAGCCACTTTTTGGCAGATGATCAAAATGACAGCAAGTGCTCCTTCAAACGTCTCTAGGGTCCCACCTTCGCTCCCCACTACCAAGCACCCATCTTCCCCCCAGTTATAAATCTCTTTGAATGAGCCCCAGCACCATGGAAGTGCTGCAGTTTGCCATGAAGCCATCACTTCTCATCTGCTCCAAACTCTGAAGTTCCTGATTCAACTCCCTTCCCTCTGGGGAACTAATGAGATGCATTAAGTATGTGAAGACTATTATGCTGATGTGTCAGCACTTGCACTAACTGTATCTTTCAGAATAATACGCTAACTTATCAACACAGCAAAAAGCCAAGAGATGAAAAGTAAGGCCTGAATATGAAATTATTCCTAAGTGTGCAGTAATTAAATTGTAGCTCTCAACGTGCATTATAGAATCGCTCAAGGTAACACTTCTGTAACTGCCTACAGTACAAAATGTTAGGTTCCAAGTATAAAAGGAAATCTGTACAGGGAAATGAACAATATTAACAGCTCATATAGTTTAAGAGAAAGCTTTAACTCTGGACAGCTGCTAGACGAAAGCATCTTGTCTCTGAGTGAGTAGTCCAAATTTATTTTAATTTATGTCCAAACCAAGTAAGTCGTCACTCTATTCGACAGTGTCAGATTTAACTTCTGAGTCCAGACTATTAATCAACATGTCAAAAGAGAAGCAGAGTAATTGTTTTGCCTATAATATTGAGTAACCAGAGGCCTGGCTGAAGCACTTCACTGTTTCTAAAGCCAAGTGTATATTAGGTTATAATATTGAAATATCTACTTCCATTATGTCTGTGTTTATTTATGGAATTTATCAGAAATTTAGAGACAGTCAAGAAAATGAATAAAAAAAGACTGCCTTATTTTTCTCCCGTTACAGCAGAGCAAGCGGTTTCCTGTTAATAGCAAAAGCCAACCTAGCACTTGGGCAAAGTGCCTACTGGGAAAACAACATGAGGTTGGTTCATTGTGTACATTCTTGTGGTTTCCACTGACTTCTCTTGGAAGGACACACGATGTAGCTTTCTGGTGGCAATAAAACTATTCATACAGCATGTTGCACACTGCCTGCCATCCTTGTTCCATCAAAGATCAGGAGCATTTTACAGTGCAAAATACCCAAGAGATGCACTGATTCAATGAATGAAGACTCCCCAGAAAAAAGACTCAGCTGCATTAATCCTACTCAACTCAGGAACCCCTGCTGTAGTTTTAAAGCTGCTTCATCCTCCAAGAGAAGGAATTACCTTTGTCTTCACTATTGCTTAAAACAAAGCAAATAGCTACACACAGAGCCAGAAACACTGGGCGGGGGAGGGCGGGACTGGAAGGGCATAAAAGCCTCGTGCAATTTCTTTTTTCAAAGCAAATTTGAAGTATTCATTTTCAAGTAAATTAATTTTAGGCATGACTAATGTAAATGTGACTATATCAATTTATCCTCCTGTTAGGCCTATATTAACCCAGTTCATGTTTTGAGATACCTTTTATAAACTCTTCTTTTACATCACGGCTAACTGTAATAAAACTCCAGAACCAGCATGTGAATCTGTCATCTTCCTTCAACACATTTCATAAGTGAATACTACTCAGTAGGAAATAAGTAAAAAAAGTTTGCTGTTTTAACTTTGATTTTAGTTGTAATGATTCTTCTATGAAAGTCCTTTACAGTGCACCGCCTTAAGTTTCATAGATACAGTAAGAAAAACCACAAAAGGTGTTTATTATAGATTTACTTACATAACTATTCACCATGTTTACTCATTTTCTGGGGAAAGCTCAAAGAAAGGAATGGGAATAAACAAAAGGCCAATTTTATTTCAAAGCAAGTCCCTTTGACACTTCTGTAGTGTATGTTAAATGTATTCTTAGACTTCTTGACACTTCTAGCTGACTGTTGAGAGGATTCAGGGTAACTTGGAAGTACCCGATTCATTTTTAATACATGTGTGTTTAAGATACAATACAGTAAGTAGCACAGATATAAAGTACTAGGCTTGCATCAGGCAGTAAGACTCACTTGAGAGGGTGTACTTGTTAGCTCCATCTTTTCTTGGGATTTTTCCTTCGCTAGTCGTGCAGCTTCTTTGAATTCCTGAAATTTTTCAGCAAACTGAAGGTACATATGTTTTAAAAAAAAAGGAAAAAGAGAAAGAGTAGGCGTGAAGTAGTACATTACATGCAGAACAGAATGCTGTACTTAACATTTTACAAAGTCAAATTCTGTCAATAGAATTTTTAAATTTTTCTCTTTATTAGATACTTATTTAAGCGAGTTACACAGTGATATACATTTCAGTACCTTTCAGACATAACGTATGCTGTTCATATGTCAGGAAAATTATGATGCAACAAAGTTCGATCTGTTCCTGATAGTGTTAAAAAACCTCACCTCAGAGATGGCTAATAATAGTGACAAGCTGCCTTACACAGCTGCTTTCAGAGTCAGGTTTTACTCTCCTCCTGACAACAAATGATCTGGTTCTGAAGCCTACTGTGGTCACTATTAGCCTAGAGCTTTCAATGGGCTTCATTCTTTCATGACTGAAACAATACTGATTTCTTCCCAAATTTTAACAGCATTTATAATTTCAATAGCTAATTAGGAAAGCAGCAGTGGGAATATTGAGTCAAGTTCATTTCTTGATTGTTCATTGACATCAATCAAGTCAAAGAACAAATTCATTGAACTAAACATTGCATATACTGAACACTAAATTCAAGAATTGCACATTGAACTGCCATATGAAGCTTGATTTGTATGCTACATGTACCTCTTCCAGAAAATAGCTAAAGCAGCAATTTAGAAATACATGCACCCTTAAATTTGAGAGATTAAATCAATTTATTAAGAATAGGACCTAGTTTCTCTGACTAGAGAAAAATTTGGCTTCATAGATCTCAGCTTGACACGACACTAATTGCTATACTAGCCAAGCATTTGTTTTTGTTTCCTACTACTTTTATACAGAACATTATCTTATTAACTTCATCTTAAGACTGAAATGATTCTACAAAAACACTGGAAGCTTCACCAATAGCTTCTAAATCTCTCCGGCAGCAGCATACAAAGAAATTGTTTTGCACTGCATGTATTTAGAAGGGACGAAGGCTACCCTTTGTGTGACACAATCTCCTCAACTATTTTCAATCAGAACTTCACCTGCTATGCAAGACCTAAAAAACCTTACTGTCTTTAAACTACTTCTCCTGGTAGGCTATTAGTATTTGAGGAAATACCATTCTTTTCCACTTGTATCCTATATTCCACCTGTCAGGTTATTTAAAAGCATACGTTTCCTGAATATAGAAGGAGACAAAAGATACCACCCTAAAAGTCTAATCCAGCATCAAAAAACGTCTCAGAACAGATGATAAAATCGGCAACAGATCACCAGAACTAGATGATACTTATTTAAGACTTGTACATAGACCTCAAAATCCGATGGGTAACCTATTATTTAAATCAGCTTTAAGACCAAAGGATTGGTAAATGGAAAACATGATGCTGAGGTTTAGAATAAATGGCTGAAGACATACAAGGCAGTAAATATGATCTTCTGTATCACAGTGGTAGAAACTGTAAAAAAAATATGTAAGAGAGAAATAGATAACATTCTAAGACAGAGCCAACAAGACTAATGTAGTGGAAATTTTCACAGATTTACTAGAATTCCTTGAGATAGTCAGGTGATGGGTAACAGCAATCTCTTGATAAAATTCCTGAATAATAAAGATGAGATCTCATGGTATGAATGGAAAGGTTCTCTGGAGGATCAATATTTTAAGGAAAAGATGAGAAATTGTGCAGGGAGAGTACAAGAGGCTCTTACAAGTATCTGTGGTGGCACTTTTGCCAGTTAGCATACTCTTAAGTTATATGGAATAATTCAGGTCAACTAATTCAAAGGGGTAAGACAGACAGCAAACCAGAACAGGAGTATTTCTTCTCGTACATCAGGATACTATCAAAAGCAAAGAATTATATTCTGAATGAGAAAGTAATCTCTTTTTTTTCTGAAAATCATGGGACATTCTATTCCTCCTACTGCAGCAGCATGAGGGACTCTGCTAGCAAATCCTGATCCTGTGAAAGGAATATTCTTCAACACAGGAATCATCTTTCAGGTATCACTGACTTCTGATGGAACAACCTTGAGGTGAATTTGTGGTCTAACATATTGAGCAAAGGTCTAATGAAGATAAATAAATGTTTAATTAATTTTCTTCTATACTGTTTGTATGTGAAGTTGATTAGAGTGCCATTATTATTCTATCAGATATTCTCACCCCGCTAATTCTCAGTCACAATAATTGTACAGAAAGAGGTTACCGCTATTGCACTCTACCCTAGTCATTAGTTTAGGAGGACAAAGGCACAGGAACCAAAAACGAATAGTCCAAAAGTCAAGCATGTACTATAAGCTAAGCAGACAATGATCTGAGAATAAATAGTTTATTCTTATCTGCTCTGATTATTTGCTTCATTAACTTGTTGAAATCAGTCATAGACTAGATGAAGTTTTTTTGTCGTTGCAGGCTGTCTTTTGCTCCCTGGAACTTGAAGTATTTCACTGGGGCCTAGAGATGCTACCGCAAAACAAATTACATACAACAGGGCTGTTCACTTAAGGACTTTGATAAATCAAATACAGAAGACGTTCCAGAATCAATTTTTAAGGCAACTTCTAGAAGCAACCTGTTTCTGAACAAATCCATTAATACAGTTTATTTGTTAGCCCTATTACTAAAATCCAGTAGTACCTTGAGTCCTAAATCAGATTTCATGTCCTACAGTGCTAGGGGTACCAAAGAGTGCTCTGGTAAACTTGACTACAATGCCAGTGCACAGAAGTGAGAGTTAGTAATCTGAGCAGACAGACAAGAAAGAGAATATAGATGTGATTTCTCTAAAGCTACACAACAGATCCAGGGTTTCTAATTCAGCTTTTCTGATTCCAAGACCAACATATCTACCAACTCCAGCGACTGAATAGACTATAATCTAAAGAAAAGTTTCCTTTCCCCCATCAAATAAAGTTTTACCTTTATGAATTTTAGTAGCAATGATCAGCAATTTCAACTCACATGAATATCAGTTTGATAATTAAGATATAACACAACAGGAACAGTTTGCTGAAAAGGTCCTGAAGATTCATCACCATAAGCTTCAGAAAAGGTCTGTCACTTGGTATTTTTCTCAACAGATTTACATATTCTTCGTATAACACAGCAATCTGAGTAACTGCTGATCAAACACATACTTAAGACAAAATATCTACTGTAGCTTTTCAGATTTTTTCAACAGCAATATAAAGTTTTAAGCCAAGGGCATACTTAAAACTCTTAGCCAACCGTTTGAGGTCAGTGGAAGAATGGGATTGAAACAACTGTCATTAAGAAGGAAGTAAGTACCACATGGGGAGAGCAAGAAAAGAGTCAAGAATAGGACAGATAAAAAACCCAAAATATTTTCACTGGCAAGGATAACCTAGTATTTAAAGTCTGGCAAACAGCGTGCATGACTACAGCATGATACTTTGCCTCCAAAGAAGCATTCTGTGATTAAGAAAAACAAGATAGTCCATGAGAGAGGTAAACTAAATTAGCATTTATACTAAATCCATTGAAATATTAAGAAAGGTTATTACCATGTTGGTAAGCAAGTGCCTCCAGGACACACACACCAATTTAAGTAAGTGACAAAGTTTCCAAGTTCACTGAAGCAATGATAGATGCACAAACACACATGCAAAGTTAGTATCATTCAGAATTTCCTGTGTTTGTGTTGCTTCATGGAAATGAAAGCTATCTGGCTATGAAAGGAAGAAATCTTACAAGTTTAACACTTATCCAAATAAAGCAGAGGTACTGGTTCTCATTTTAATGGTTTTCTAACAGGCCCATGTCCTTGGATAGCGACAATTACTTTCTCAAAAGGGCTGGTATCTTTTTTTTTTTTAAAATAACAAGCCAATCATTATTCCTTACTTAAACATGTACTATACACTCCTTTTATTGCACTTGGGTTTCCAGATCTTTTGTATCCTTCAAAGATGAAAATTCTCTGCTTGATGTAGAGACATGTTCTTAAACTGAACTGAAATTCCTCATCTGGAGAAAAATGACACTGGCTTGTACAGGTTCCTGGTGCTCAGAGGAACTATACCATCACTTTGAGAAACGGGTTACTGCTTTCCTCAGAATAAGGTGTAGTTGCCTCCTGCACAAGTAGACCAGAAAAAAAACCTCACGTATGGCACAGAGTTTCTTTAGTAAACAAACTTCTGTATTCCAACAAGAAAATGTAGTTTTCTTTTACACTGAATATATTTCCCACTAGCTTTACTTTAAGCCTGCAGACACTGAAATATCTGTAATTTGATGCAATACATAGTAGAAAAGTGAAAGTGAATGTGGCTTAAAAGACAAAAATGCATCTGAAGACTACCAACAATTTTTTTTCTAGGAGATCTAAATACAGAAGAAACACTAAATTGTCCACTCCTTTAAATTCTATCATGGAAAACTGTAATGGGAGAGCAACTTTAAAAAAAGAGAAACCTAACAAATGAACAATTAGAAAGCGTTAACAACATATACTGTGATAGCATAAATCTCCCTCCTTTCTTCCATCAGTTAAAAGAAAACTTGCAGGTATCACACTTTGTCTTGTCTTTTTACATTATAAGGATTGATACAGAACATTTTTTTGTAAATTATTTTTAAATAACAACAGCAGTGAGCACTGAGTCAAGAAACAACAAGCAGGAATCAAATAGTCTTAAGCCACTTGACTAGCTGAATAGTTGCCACTGTCATACTTACTTTTGAAAGGTGATGTTCAGATGAAAATCCCAAGCCATAGACTGTATTCGCCCTGCTGTCTGCCCACTGGCCAAACTTCTGGGATGTTTTAGTAAATGTCATGTTGGGGGTGATAGTGCTATTTATTATTGCCTGAAAAAAAGTAATAGTTGTAAAAAAGGGGTTTTATGGTTTTGATTTTTTTTTTTGAAGACTACTCATAATTGAAAATGCCAATATTGTAGTCAAGTATCTGTGTACACTGAATGAGAGACAATGGGAACTAGGGAACAGTTTTCTAATTCAATCACAGCTAAAATTACAAAAGCATATTTCCGCATACATTCTCTAAAAGGAGCAAAAGCTGGGGGGGGGCACCTGTTTGCAATTGCAAGCAGTCATTTAATAATTAGCAAGTCTAAAAAAAGTCCTTTAAAGTATCTGCATAGGCTAATGAGATCAGAACAGAAGAACTAGCAAAGTCCTTTTTTGTCTCACAAGTGTATTTCTTTGTCCCCTAAGGCAACACCTCTCAAGCTCCACTGTAAGCTTCACTGTTGCATTACCCCCACCCCTGTTGCATATGTGGTTCTCACTGGAAAACATGTAATAAAACAAGAATCACAATTTCTTTTTAAGTTTCTGTATTACAAGAATCTCTTTTTCCTTTATACACACACAAGCAGGCTTAACAGTGACAGGGTCATACTCCAACTACAGAAGAAGAGCTACTCTTAGAATAATTTTTCTTCTCTAGTTCTTGTTATATACAGGATGGAAGAAGAACATCCTCCAGCATACAACTTCTGCTAATGTAAACAAAAAATGCAACTATTAGATGATATGCTGGTTCCACTAAAAGCAACTAAAGTGTTACCATGGATTTCAACAGTATTTCCATCACATTAAAGTTTGTCTAACATATTCTAAATCTGCGATGTGGAACTGTCCAGCTGACTTAAAGTATGTCAGGATAAAGTCTTATAGTGACACCAATGGGTTCCATTTAACTAAAAAACTGATGGTTAGCACAGTCTATAACCAGCCAACGTGAACGAGAAAGACTAGCCATAAACCCAAAGATATGTGTATTTGAAGTGAAATGCAGGCATGCTTTCTCATCTGTCTGGCACTACTAAGAGTTTCAGCCACATTTGTAAAATAATTCACAGCCCTTTTCATGAATTACGGGTGCTTTGTAACACCCACGTGAAAGAGAATGTCCTTAAAACTTCCCAGAAAATAGCACACACTGTGAGCAGAACAATTCAGCAAGAATCTTTCTTATATGCCAGTTACTGTGCTCCAAAAGTTATGGTCAATATGTGTCCTACTGCAATTGTCTTAATCTATCGAGTTGGGAATCTTTTGAACATCAGTGTGCACATTTCCTGCTTCCATGAAACCATAACCCCTGCCTTACCCCTGGCAGGTTAATGCCAGTGATTACTGAAGAATCCTAGAGCAGCAACAAAATCCACAGAGTCCAAGCCATCTTCTCTGTCGTAAACAACAAAATCTTTCTTTTATTCTTTGAATAGCAGGAACTGTACAGATGTGTAGAGAATAACAGTATTTTCTCAGGATGGTGACAGTGAGAAACGTCAACATCAGAGAGACCAAGTGCTGCTCTCCCAAGCCCGAGGTCTTCTAGAAGTCAAAATCAGTCTATACTACTTGTGTGAGATGGCCTTCTGGGTGGATGTTAAAATGAGTAGTCATGGAGTTTACTTAGCACCCTTTGCTTTTGCTGAGATTTGGGTAGCACTGGTGCACAGCTACCATCAACATAAAATTTTCTCTGAATTCTACAGGGCAAGCTTGAAAAACTTACAGCTGAGGGGCCAGCTAAGCCCACAAACAGCTCCCATGTGCATATGGTGATTCTCAGATGAAGTGGCAGAGAGGAGTATCGCAAGAAAGTTCAGAAGAACACATTGTATTGCAACATGTAGAAAGACAAGCAAAGATACTGCAGCACAGATGAATTTAACAAAACTGGCATCTTCTGCAGTAGCTTTGGCAGCTCCACTATACTCGCATTAAATTAGAAGAACAAATCTGGGTGTAGCTGAGGATATCAAACCGGCAGTTCTCTCTTATGACTGTTGCCTCAAAATGCAAGTTTTGGCTACCATTGTGAACAACTCCTGGAAAATTTTGGACTGCCTGAAAGCTTATATTTGAACCAACAAGCCTCATCAGGTCAAGGGCAAGATTTTCTGTGTGATCAGAGATTGCAGAATCATCTCCAGCATTAACTGTCCACAAAATGTCTCCTCAGATTTTCAGATAAGAGAAGCTGGTCAGTGAAGTCACTGTAATTCAAACATCGTTCTCCTTTCTTTAGGCATAAGGTTCAGAGCCCACATAAAGCCAGCAGGCTTGCACTTGCACTACGGCCTTCAACTGACCTCATAGAAAACATCTGTCCATGCCACACAGGACAGAAGGGACAGTATGAGACAGGGAGGTGGACTTCTTGGAAAGGTGGTTTTCTGGAGCTCTTTTTTTCTTGTATGCTTCTTGTCTTCTTGTGCAGTGTTAGTGCTTGGAAGCCCACTTTTGAAATAACCTGGTGGAAGCCCAGAACAGAGCTGTTCACTTAATGCTCAATCTCTCCTGCTGTGGAAGCTGTCAACAGTAATATGTTTGAAATTAAATATCCTGGGGACAGTGTAGAAAAGAGTCTTCCTCCCAACTCAAGCTCTAGCTACGTTGTCTAGCTTGCTTAAGCCTTAGTTCCATCCATTGCTTGATTAATTTGAACTTATATCACAGATTTGAGAGTGTGCGTATTATGTTATCTTCCTCAATGCAGAAGATGACTCTGAAGACAGGGACGTATGACCTCCAAGCAACAGGTTTAAAGCCTGCAGGACTGGCATTTGCTGCAGTGACAGTGGCATATCTGTTGCAAATTAACCCAGCAAAAAGCCTTGGAGAAACCAACCAGTTTTTAGCTGAGACTGCTCACTGCTTCAGCTGACCACGTGGCTGGCTGCACAAGAGAACCCAGAACAGGCTGCCGGGACCAGAATGGGCTATCTGTTTTGACAGCAGTCTGCATTTAGGCTGGGTTACAGTCACTGTCAAATTACTTCCTTGCAAGGGAGAAAGGTAGGAAGAAACTTTTTAAAAAATAATTGTATTGAGAAAGAGTTGCTGTGATTCTTCCCTTTATGTTCCAGCAGAGAAAAATGAGGCGGCTCCACTCCAGTGGACAGTATTAGTCCAAAGACAGCAAGTTTCTCACTGGGAAGACTACATTCAGATTCCAGTGATAAAAAAAAAAGTCTCCTTTCATTAGATTTACCAATTATACAAAGAAATCAAGGCTTTCAATCCTCTCTGAATTAAAAGCATTAGTATGCTAGATCTCTCATATGCTAAATTAATTATGCTTTTAAAAAGTGCAATGCTAGAGCAAACTACAGATACAGTCGGTGTCAGCCACTTCTGGAAAATACTAGATATGAATCCTTCATGTCTTCAGCTTAAGAAAAATATTTATTTTTTAAATTAGAATTTATACCTAAATCTGTCTTGTCTACTCAAATAGGTACCGCTTTAACTGCTCTCCTCTACGCCAGATTTCACTGTAGAGTTACCAGTATAACAAGTGTCAAATATTTCATCAACTTTTAAGAATGTTGTTAGTATAAATGTACAAGAGTATCTTAAAAACAGAACATAGTCGATCTGACAGGCAGTCATTTAGCTTTTGAAGAAAACTGATTTTGTTATCTTTAGATTTTGTCGGAATAATAAAATAGCTTTCATGGTTTCCTTTCATATTAGTTTAGCTATGAGAAAATAGGGCATGTGTCTTAGCTGTTCATTTTACTGACTGCAAAACCAACAGCTGCAAGATATACAGCAGTGGTCAAATATAATTTTAACTTCTGCTAAAACTGATGGCAATAATAATTAAGACACACAGTATTTTTTAACTTCTTCAAAGGAAGATCACTGAAGAGCTGTGCTTACAGGCCTTACTTAAAACTTGTATTTAGCATTAAACAGGTTTATCACTTTAATGTGTGACTAGTTTATTTTATAACAGTCATTAAAATGTAAAGATCATCTATTGCAGTAACACTGATGGGAGACTTGACTCAGAAATAATATATACAAGGCTCATAGAACCTGAAGACTGGAAAACCACTCTTTTCCACAGTCTTCTCTTGGTTTAGATGAGCACAAATTATTAGGGCTTTTTTTGTATCTTGCATCTGTGAAAAAATTATCAGAGAATTAACTAGTACTGCAGGAACCACATTACTTGATCTCCTTTCTTTTCTCAGTGACTGCCAGAGATTGAACGGAAAAGACAGCAGGATCCTGGGAATAATCCTAGTGTCTGCCTGCAGTGTTACTGGAGAAATAATGGAGGCTTCCTTCCGTCACCTAGGAGAAAGAAGTACTAAAACATATTTTTCCAAGGAGCTGTGAAATTACTATATAATTAATGAGAACTGAAAGCCTTAGCAACAACTGCTCAGCGTTGTCATGTCATATTGCATAAGAAATTTTATGTTTCAGGCTTTCTCTTGTCTTAGAGTGGTAGGAGAAAAAGGTCACATAAAAGATATTTACTCAAGAGGTAACAGAAACCAGCCTCGAGTTCTATCAGAGTATTTGCATCAGCATCTCCCTGCCATGGGCAACAGGGATCCAGATACTGTACGTGACTATAAAATATGGCCTGCACACTGCATACTTCATGGTCCTAGAACATCTTCTGGAGTCAAGTTAGAGGGAGATGCATCGTTTCTTGTGCAATGTATTTTAAGAGGAGACTGTAGCTTCAGAAAACAACATTACACAGAATGCATTAAAAATAAGCAGAACTTGCTCCTATAGGAGCTATCTCAGCTGAATCTAGCTCATAGACTCATTGATATGGAATAAGGAAAAAACCCCTCTCTCGCAAAATACAAAGACCCCCACAAGCAAATTCAAGCAGGAATCGGCAATGTACAACAGCATCCCTCAGAGGTGAATGAAGATCATGTCTTAAAAACGCCCTTTATTTCCAAGAAGAAAGATATAATGACTTTCAGACAATCAGTAAGAAAGTTAAATTTTATCCAGAAATCCTACTGAAAGCCACTGACCTAAAGAGAGGGAAGGGTGTGGGACAGAAATAGGATTATCACTCAAATCTAAATTATATCTCTCTCAGACTTTCCTTACTGCAGTCTAAGCGAACATACATGTGAATTGCCAACACTTACTGACCTACTGCTCAGCATCTGAGCCACTGGGCAGCCACATGCACGTCATTCTCTCCACCATACAAACCCACAGGGTGCTGTAAACCCCACCAGCACCAAGGTATACTATAAAACCTGGTTGGATCTATTCCCTCCGAGAGAGGGGCATGACAGCTTCAAAAGCAGTACGGTTCAACAAGTGGTTTTGGCCACTGGCAACATGTGTTTTTGAGACATTTTCAATGTAAAATGTGGTTTTAAAAAAAAAAAAAACACAAAATCATCTTTATTCAGTTTCATTTCAAAACTTAAAATGGGAAAATTAAATTGCACAGCTTTTTCTCCTTTGCAAATTTAACTCTCCTGCCTGACCAATCAACAATATAAGGCATTGCAAGTTCAGCTGCCAGTAGTGTTACTGACACCCAGCTGTATGCCACATAGCAGAGACACTATCTGGATGCACTCCATCCCACAAAATCATCTTTATTCAGTTTCATTTCAAAACTTAAAATGGGAAAATTAAATTGCACAGCTTTTTCTCCTTTGCAAATTTAACTCTCCTGCCTGACCAATCAACAATATAAGGCATTGCAAGTTCAGCTGCCAGTAGTGTTACTGACACCCAGCTGTATGCCACATAGCAGAGACACTATCTGGATGCACTCCATACTTAAGAATATTTTATATTTATATTTAGCCCTTTGTACATACGATATTGTATATATGCAGACATGTTAAAAAAGATGGGGCTTTAATTAAAAATAAAAAAATTCTCTGGGAATTATGCTGAAAACCTCCTTAAAATTCTTCCATGGATCCCCCTCCTATTCACCTGTGTATGTTACAGAGCAGTGTTGGGATTCCTAAAACAATGGGTCTTTCTTAATCGTGATTGGGATCCTAGATCTTAGTCAGACATCTAACACTTGGATGAAAACTTTATTAGGATTGCAGCAATCACACAGAGAGTAAATAAAAGTCATAGATTGCATTATCAATATACCTTGCCAATAGTACTGCAAATGTAAAGGAAATGCTGCAGTAGACAAAAGAACAAATAAATAGATGAACAACTGCTTGACAATTTAACTCAGAAGCCACTTTGCAGGAGTTGCAGCTTTGGACAAAGGCAAAGGAACCCCAGTGGATACCAGAATAAGGATTTTGTAAACTGCGCAGATCAGTTAAGGTGCTACAGATTATGACTGGTAGTCTTGATTTCATACAGCATCTAGTTCCAATCCCAAAGACTTTATTTATAAACAGTCACACAAAAGGTATTTTAATTATTTGACAGAACTAAAAGAATCATTTGAAGGAAGGTTGGGAAGGGAAGAAACAAAGTAAGACTTAAAGTTGGAAAAATTCTGGTAGGCTTTGATACCAGAGTCTCAATCACTTAAAGTAGTATCATACAGAGATCTTTGACTATGAGATCTATTTCTATATACTACTTTATGATAGAAATTCTCCTTCCTCACTTAAAATAGCAATACTCTGGCTATTTTTAAAAAATGCAGAGTGATATTTTTCAGCTTTCAATAAACAGCCACAAAATCTCTGTGAATACTGCTGTGCTCTCACAAAGTATTTCAGTTCCAACCATCATGAACTGATGCATCTCCAGAAGTTGCAAATGAAAGTCTCGAGAGGATTACAACTTTTAGTTACACTCTGTATATCTTTAATGTCCTTATTGCAATTTTCTGATATGCTGTTTGTAAAGTTACTGTTTTTATACCCACTGGGGGTAAAATGTAAGGAACAGTCAAGTATTTTCTCCACATCAAATTAATTTCTTAGACAAGGTTTCTTACAACAGCAGCTCAACACATTATCCTTTCTAATTAAAAAAAAAAAAAAAGAAAAAGAAAAACAACCCCAAAAAACCCCAAACCAATTGACTTTTGATGAAAGCTTACCATGGAAAGCTTTATTAGGAGGGAATCCTCACATTCTCTACAGCAAAAATTGGAAGATTACGTAACAAAGGATTTACTAAGTGATTATGGGCACTGAACAGATGTCCTTCATAATGCTGAAGCCAATGGTACTGATAGACCATTGAAGGCAGAGATGAAAACAGGTTATTGTAACCCTATTTGTACTTTTTAGTGCATCTCACAGGGAAAGTCTTTTTAGCCTGCTCCTAATATTAACTAAGTAACAGGTCATCCCTTAAATTCAGCAATAGATTTACCAAACTAAATATGAGCACTTGGAAAACAGCATTTTTGAATAAACACTTAAAACATGTAAGGAAGCATTTAAAGCATGTAATGAAGCAATGTTACCATTTTAACATGTCAGTAATCTGTTACTCAGATAATGACAAAAGCATCTGAGAAGATACATGAAGGACATCAGACTAGAAAATAAATACAAAAATTGATGAAGCAAGCACGTTTTCTGAAATAAAACTTACCTTTGAGCCATCCAAACTGATTATCCTGTAGACATTTCTTGTGCTGTCATAGAAGTAGGACACAGTAACAGCATGCTTGCTGGTGGGAACCCAGTTCTTCTTAGTGTTTGGGTCAATCTGGAAGACGTGAGCTCGGGTGCTGAAGATGGGTTGTTCCCTGAAGGACAGAGAGGAAAAGTCATGAATCTAACTTGTACATAATATCAAGTTATCTGCCAGTTGTGCCCACTGGGATGTACACATTTCATTCTGCATGATAAATTTTTCCTAAGAACTTCTGTATGTGTTGCTACATAGAGCAGGTAAGTGCATTAATATACATATGCAAGCAAAATGCAAGCCTTCTAAGGCAAAAATCAGCACCCAGCTGTAGAGTCAGATAAAGACAGACATCTCTAATATAGATTCAGCCCTGTCTCATCATCTCCCCAGCCCTCACTCTCCACCTATCCCTTTAAACTAACTGGCATTAATACATGTGTAACTTCATCTCATTACGCTCCACACTGCAGAACTTGTAGGACTTCAAACCCCCATCTTCTCAAAAATCTTTTAATACTCTGATTATTCTAATCAATTTTAGGCCATAATCTGAAACTGAACTGGCTGATTCAATGCAATTACTCTAAAACTAACATTAATTAGGGCCAGGAACATGCGTTGTGAAACCCTCACTCTTTGGAGCTTCACACCTGAACATTTTCATAGCAACACTAAATATGTGTAATATACATGGTTCAAAGCTAACTGCTTAGCAAATAAAATTATATAAGGTAAAAAAACCTACTGTACTTTAGAAATACAACTTGTTTTCCCCATGATCATTACCAGGACAAATAATATTGCACAGAAATCTAAAAATATTTTAGTATCTCTAAGATAGCTGTCCGTTTAAATTTAGCTACATTCTAGTGACAAATAAGACTGCTGTATTCTTCAGGGAATGTTGCCACCAAATCCCAAAGATATTTAGTATCAGAACTTTAAGTTGGATTTAACTTTTTAGGGTTTTGGACTCTCTTGTTTTCTCCCATTTCCAGGATGTGAAGAAACATAACCTTTGTCCCTGCCCTCATTTCCCTTTAAGAGGTGAGTTTTTAATACATTTTTCTGCCCAAAATAAAAAGCAAAAGAAAAAACTATGGTTTTGGGTACTCATAGTCAAAGGGTTTTAATCTGGCCTCATTACAAAGGGGAACGTGTGAACTCTCAGAAATCTCTACTGCTTGGCAGCAAGAGCAGCTGAGACCAGCTGCTTTCAGCAGCAGAATCGTATTACTCAGCTGGGAGTTAAGGCTCCTTGAAGCTCATCTGCCAGAAGATGTGGTGTTCTCCTATGTTGGGTGTTGGAAGAAGTGACAGAACAGACCAAAGACAGTGAAACAGAGAGTTGAAGTGAAAGCTAAAGGAGAAGGAATACAGACCAGGGGGATCAATGCACATACTAGTCCTCCATACAAATATCACTGTAGCCTCAGCACCAACTCACCTCCTTCTAAATCACCACGCTACAGGAGGTTGGGTAGCTGTTTTCCTGATCCCAACCCCTTGCACACAAAGTAAGGTTATGCAAAGGTGACTTTTATAGCCCTTTTGTTTAACAGAATCTTGACACTAATTCTTACGCTCTTTCGAATATCTACAATTACTTCTTCAATCATACTTAAACTGTAGTTCTTGTTTTCAATATTAGATACATTTTGCATTTACCTCCCAATTAAGCATATTCAAATGTAATGTGATGCATATTACCATAATGCAACCAGTTCTTTAACTGTGGAAGGTTAAAGAGCCCATCAAAACAAAAATCTTAGAAGCCTGACAATTATTTGGATGAAGACCGACACTGAAAGGAGAAAATAAAGGCTCTGACCACATTAACTAAAAATACTAAAGAAGAGCTGAATCCAAACTGTAGATGTGTGGTTAATGAATACAAATTTGACCAGCACTGATACTCAATTCTGTCACAGTACAGTATATCATACAACTGGGACTTTCAACATACCACAGGTTAGAATTTTAATATGTAAAAGGTAGGCAAAAACTATACAACTGAAGCAAGAGGGACCATCAGTAAAAGCCCGATTGTTCAGCCCTCAGTTGCTGGTCTCCCGCACTGTCAGCACAAAAATCTTCCATAGCCCTAGCTAAATATCCTCAATTTGTTTGACGAGGTGGCCTGCATGTTCCTGCTGATTGCCCAGCAGTGTTGCTCAAAGACAAACCAGAGCACTTTGCAGGGCACGTGTGTGGGTCTGGCATAGACATTACACTTAGGTATGGAACAGCATAAATGAAGCTTACTTACACTTTTTTAATCGCTTCTGATAAAACTAGAGTTACAGTCTTTTCTTTCCATGTTTTAACTGAAACTACAGCTTTGCTGAATGACAAGGTGTCTACACTGTGGAAAAAAGCATAGCTCCCTTCGTTAAACTAGTTGGATAAATCATGATTTTGCCAGATTACTGGGGTAATCAGGATTTTTTTCTGACAAAGAACCTAAACTTCAGATGCCTCTAGAATTAGACCAACGTTTTGACACTTGATGATCAACATTTATAATGATTATTTCTTCAAACAAATGGAAGTTATGCACTTAATGTCTACAGGACTAAATGTGTTATGGAATCAGTCACTGATGTGCCACTGAAGTGTTTCGAAGCTGCTGTACAATTAGGTCATCTGTACTTTTCTGTAGCAACATACTATAGAGCTACTTAAATTTTAGATTTGCTAAAACATTCAGAAACAAACAAAAGGTAATATATAAAACATATACAAGATTTGTAACTTCAGCTAATCAATCTTTACTTAAATTTTTTGTTCTTCCATTATCCACACAGGACATGATGCCCTCCCAGTCCGGAAGTTTCAATTAATTCAGTTGAAGTAATATCAGTTATAGGAGTATTAATATTAGTTATATAGGAGAATAGTTTCCTTTTTCCCTTTCTAAGTGCTCAGACAATTAATATACATAAAAATTATCTTTTATAATAAATAATATATATTTTTACATACATAAATTAGAAAACATACTTTTGCCTATATAGAGTTGAGATAGGGAGAATGGCTTTAAATAAGAAAAAGCAATCCTGTAAAAAAACCTTATCAGTTCCTTACTCATATATATTTACATACATAAATTAGAAAACATACTTTTGCCTATATAGAGTTGAGATAGGGAGAATGGCTTTAAATAAGAAAAAGCAATCCTGTAAAAAAACCTTATCAGTTCCTTACTCTTCCCTCTCTTCTCTTCCTCTTTCAGCTTTTTCTTGTCATTCTTTCATTACCAGAAAGTAGTTAGTATTCATTAAAGAAACTAATAGGAACTAAGACAAGAACTCATCACTAATTACAAAGAGAAGTCATTCACTTTTCCAGAAATATCCTGATGCTGAACAAAAAGAAAAGAAACTAACAAGAATGCCATAGTAACACAGTTGACTATTAGAAATGTCCGCTCAGGCATGGCAGACACATTAAGGCTAATATGCTGCTGTTTTTAGTTGGCTTAGACTGCAACATTACAACGGTCAAACACAGACTAAAAAGAAATAAGTGCCAAGTCCTCCTGGACTTGAGTGGCAATGTGAGGACTAAAGAAGCATGAGAAGTACCACTTAAGCAGGCAGAGTCACACCAGTTTTTTTCATCATTGATACAGAAATCCGTTCATTGATATGTGATCAGTCCTAGGCTAGGCTTAGGAGAAAAGCCTGTGTCCTAACAGTTGAATGAACAGTGTTTTCAGCCACTCTTTCCATTTTGACATCTTAACACATCCCTTTCAAAAAAATGCAGACTACTGAATATAAGAACCTAAGGTTTCATTTTTCCGTATGTTAGACTAATTAAAGCTTTCACAAAAGAAGCTTAAGTTAGTACAGAAGGTTAGAAAGAACTTTCCTTGCTAATCCATAATTAATATTTGCTTTTTTTTAAAAAAGTATCTATTCTTTGACATGTCTGGTACTTCCAGATTGTGCCAACACTAGTGCTGAAGACTTCTTCCTCTTATTTCTTTCCTCACGCTGCTGTTTACCATGACTCCAAAGTTATTTTCATTGCCATAATATCTACAACTTCTGAAGGCTGGGACTCTGTTGTCTTAGTTACTGTAAAAACAATAAGGCCACTGAAAAGAAGGTGTGAACTTCTACAACATTAGTTGATGTCCTACTTGCCTTCCCTTATGGTGTGTTAATGATGCTAAAAAAAAATTTAAAAATTACACACCCCCCTCCTTTCCCCCTGCATACTGGGCTAAATTGACACAGTTTTGGTAGGGAGGGTGCTGCACCATGTGGTACGAGGTCAGGGACTGCCCTGTGCAGACACAAGAACAGACCAGGACTGGGGCTGGAGAAAAAAAAAGAGACACAGGAGATGACATCTGAGCAGGGGCTGGAGCAAAGAGCTGGCCAAGCAGGAGCAGACAGCAGACACGGGAGCAGGTATAACGCTGAGAGGACTATGGCCCATGGAGAAATTGCGTAAAAAAAAAATAAAAGGAGTCACCCCAGGCACTGACTGCCATCTTCTGAGTGCCACCTGCAGTGAGGGGATGGGAGACCAGGAAGGAGTTGGAGAGGTGTCCACAGGGAAGATGAGGTGTGTTTTCTGTGTTTATTTAATTGTTTGTCTTCATCTTCATTGGCAATAAACTAAATTGAATTAAATTTCCTGAATCAAAATGGTTTTGTTGCGCATGACATTCCATCCCTGCCACAAACACAAAACCCAGACCTAATACTTTATATAACAGCGTCTTGGATCCCCAAACCGTTCAAATACACTAGAAGTTTTAAATCTCTAAGCAGAGCTATTTTCCCCAACCAGTAGGACGAAAGGGGATGAATAAGCAGGTCCAGCATGATGGGGTCCTCCTGCTCAGCTCACCTTTGATAGCTCTCAAGTATCTATCATGTAATGAAAAGTCCATGAGAATGAGTATTTATGTCAATCATTTCGGCAATTTCTATTTCCCTGATATGGATCTTAAAAACTCCAAAGTGCATTATCCGGACTTACTGTTTTTGGTGCACATGGGTTCCACATACAAGACTGTTTTCAAGACAAGTCCAACAAAATGTGCCTTGGAAGTCCTTGTCATCACATTTGCAAGTTGCAAACAGAGCAAGATCCCACCCTTCGGATTTCAGTCTCATAGTTTCAGAGAAAGATGATGCCCTGTGCATCCAAAAACACCACAACATCCCTGTGCTCAGAACAGGAGTACAACCACACTCCAAGTTCCCTATCCACAGTGGAGATTGGGCAAAAAGTGTGCTGCCCTCAGCCCATTACAGCCACCGGCCCAGCAGACCCTGCCACATGGCAGCCTACATGCTCAGCACACATGCTCTGGCAGTCCTAAGGACTGCAAACTCTCTCAGTAGGCATCACACACATGTTTTTGCAGGCGGTAATTTCACACACAGTGAGTTCTGAGCCTCTATAATATCTGTCATCCAAGGTAATTTCTCCCCATGTCAGACAACATGAATCCCCTGCATGATCTCTCAGGCATTTGCTGATTATCGGCAGATTTAGGATAGGACAGAGACTTTTTTGCTTTTTCAGAATGACAGCATACCAAGACTACAGCTTTCTCCCAGTGCCCTGCTAGTCTTAAAAATACTCTCCCTAGCTTGTTTTTAAAGCTGTAGCAAGCTTTTGTTACTCTAAGCAGCTTGAGGAGAGATCCCTGAAAAGAAATGAGGAGAGAGATTAAAAGTGCAGCTATAGTCAAAACTAGTTTGTCAGCTATGGCATCCAAACACGGCCAATGTTTTCTCAGGATTATTAAATTAAATTAAAATCATAAAGTACTTGAACAAAACATACTGAGCATACTTGTGAAATTAGTACATCTTAAGATTTTGCTTTCTGTATTAAATACATACAATAACAACTTTAATGTCTCAAAACAAGCACTGAGATAGTAAAAAAAAAAAAAGGAAGTTACAATCGAGCAACCAGATTGAAATCTCTCACATACCACAAGCTGTTTATCTAGTTTTACACTTACATTCTTAGATCTGCTTTTGCTGTTATGTTTTGGGTTTGCATCAGGTTTACTCAAGGTCAGCAAAAGCTTAGGAGGTTGTTCCTAAAAAGCTTGGTAAGTTTTCTGTATTCAGTTAGAAGTTAATACATATATGCGCCTATTTACCTATAAAGTTCAATGGCTTACTTTATAGAATATGTTCTATAGCTACATAATACTGCACAGAGCAGTGCCTTCAAGCTTATTTCTGAACTGTTTTGTTCCCATTTAACAATCAGCTTTTAGTATTAGATCTTTAACCACTTCTGAGTTAGCATACCATCACAAATAATACCAGCAATTTTTCAGGATTTGAAGGGAGAAAAACTATCTAAAACCTTTCATTAAACCTATAACGTTAAGTAAAAAATACATAACTGCCAGAAACATCATTACATACTGTATGTTAGATTTTCAAGGATATGAAGTTTTGACCAACTAAAGTGTTTCAGCTTGAAATCAGGTATTACACAGTACTTAATGGACATAAGATACAGGAAGTCAGAAGAAAATCATTTAGTGATCTGCTCATATTTACATTTCTATGAAATTAGTGTTTTGTCATGGGTGATATCATGCTGATATGCCAAAAGAGAGCTG